TCAGGATCTGGCTCATCTTATCTATATGGTTTCTTTGATCAAGAATGGAGGGAAGGGATGACTCAGGAAGAAGCTGAGGTCTGTAATCAATGATTACACTTTTGTTTTCTGCATTAAACCATCTAAAAGATAATGACTAATTTTTATATGTTTTTTAATCTCCTCAGCAACTAGTTGTGAAGGCAGTCTCTCTTGCCATTGCTCGTGATGGTGCCAGTGGTGGTGTTATCCGCACTGTGACTGTGAGTTGATTTCTCATTATTAACGATGCTCTCCTGGTTAAATTATTGGTAGTCAATCAACTATCTTGATCGTGGATTGGTTGAAGTTGGGTCAAATCTTGATTCCATCCCTCGAATTGAACATTGTTCCTTATGAACACAACTGAAAGATTTAATCGTTTATCATTTATTTTTTACGTGGATTTTCACCTACTGCAAGCCACTATACAGTGGATGAGTAGAAAACTTCAGTCCTGTCGTCGTTCAGATTTCAGTAGGAATGTAGTAGGTTTTTGCTATGTTTTGACCGATCTTAATAACTTGCGCAACACTTAATAGTTTTTTGCTCAGCATTGTAGGGCAAACCTCTCACCAGTGTCTAAATTTTCCCAAATTTCTAATTTCTTATAATCTTCCCACTGCAGATTAACCAAGACGGGGCCACTAGAAAGTTCTACCCAGGCGACACTCATCCTCTATGGCACGAAGAACTTCCACCGCAGGATTCCCTGTTGGACATTACACCTGCTGCCAGTCCTATGATCAGTTAGATGAAAGCCGTTTCATATTTATCTGCAAGTATTACAACACTGAACTCTACTGTTCGGCACTGTTCTTCAGCTATGTACTCTGCGAGCACTTTGTTCGGTTAATTGGTCTTTCTGTATGAACGAACTTGTGTTTTCCTGTCACTGGAACTTGCATTTCCATTTGCGACTATGGATTCTCTGGCATCACGACCATTTGTCATTCAATTATGGAGAAACTTGCTATTGAAATCTCGTTTTGGAAGAAAATTACGTAAAAGAGACATCTTGCTCCACTCTAGCTGCTTGAACAAAAGTATGACATTTCATAATATAAGTATGCATTTTTGTTGCAAAAGATGTGACGAGTCGACTTGCCTAATAGTTAGGCCGTCTCCACTACTAGACTTTGTGTTTTTTCATCCGAGTTTTTTAGTTGGTCTAGGAAGCAATCTAACCTTCATTAATGAAGTGTGTATTAATTTTGATTCAACACTATTTGTTCACATCAATGTCCACCCTCTGTTATAAAATACTGAGTAAATAGGGCAACAAAATCCCTGCAATAGTTGCAATTTATAAAATAAAAAAAATACAATAAAGTTGATCAAAATTTATTTTAACAACATAAAAACGTAATAAACAACAAATGGATGATATTAAAAGATTGAGTACACCGACTCCATAATCAATTAGTCGGGACTCATATGACTGCTCGACAGGCACAAAATATGAATTCACATTTTTACCATAATCAGTTAGTTGGGACTCATATGACTGCTCGACGGGACAAAATATGAATTCACATTTTTACGAAGTTCGATTGTTGATTTTAAAAGTGACTCAAAGTTGACAGGGTTTGGCAAAGGAAATGCTTGTAGGAAGACATCTTCTAGTCTTATGTACAGTTACAAGAAGAAGAAGAACAGAATACATCATGCATAAGGATTTTTAACCTCATTTTCTACAATACAGCTTGGCATAAAATGAAGTGTTAAAAGATCATTTTCTATTTAAGAAAAGAGGAAGAAGACCGCGAAAGCTACGAAAGTAGAAATGTCTCGGATTTACCTACTTCTACTTACACTACAATACCAACGTCATAGCTCCATCGCTTAAGGAAAAAAAAAATGAAAAAAAGAAACAAATAAAGCTTGTCAAAGATGCTTTGCCTTAAGATCTACTCTTTAATCTTCATTCCCTGCTCTTCTTGTTCGAATGCATGGTGTTCGAAGTCCTTCCCGAGCATCACAGCTCATAGATGGGGGCAAAACTAACTTTTCCAATAGTATAATGTGCAGGGGAGCAAGTGGGAATGAGAGAGATTTCTAAAATACCCTTTGTACAACTAGTTGACACCATTGTCCGAACTGCTACAGGCCTGGTTCGGAAGAACACCGCTTCCGAAATCTCCATCGAGACTCATTTGTTGGACTTCCTGAGGAGAAAGGATCTTGATGCAACGCACGCAGCTGACAAACTCCCTGAAAAAAACGCAACATTTTGGTTTTTCGTTAAGAACAAAATTCAGACACAACAGTTAACAGTATAAACCGCATGAGAGTATACATATATATACGTACTCCCATGGATCGTCGCCAACTAGGAGGACATCATTTTCATGGTCCACATAAACGAGCTTCCATCCGATCCTCTGCCGGTCCTCGAGCTGTCCCTCTATACCAAATCTACGTGCTAGATCTTGCTTCAGATCATCATAGCCTGAATAGCGTGTAATATCAATCGATCTCCCGACAGCTCCACGCTTATACACCTTCAATAAAGAAAGAAAATACTCGGTAAGTCGAACGAAGATTTTGAAATCACTCATGCAGCAACCTTAATTAATAATACTAAATAATTTCGACACGACGAAATGGGGCATTAAAAAAAAAAAAAACAAACAAACCAACCTTAGTATAAGTTCGCATCCTAGGAATCTGTGGCGGGACCCCCCACCCTCCTCCATTCATGAAGTTTCCATCATTCATCGACGAGTCAATCGAGTTGAACGCCATTTCCGGAACTCCGAACGACTGAGACACCATAGACGATGAAAGCTCGGGTTGATGATGAGCATCCTTGGTGGTATTCTCGTAGGCTGCCGGGAGCATACCTCCTCCTCCTCCTCCGGAAGAAAGATCAGCTGAGGAGAAGTCTTTCCCCGAGCAGCCCATCATGTTTTTCGTGATCAGAGGATCGGACATCATCGGCATCGCTAACTGATGATTTTCAATGTCAGCCCCAAACGGGACATTTTCTTGATATCCATCTCTAAACAACATCGACTGAGAATTAAAAGACATGGAGTTCGTTTGTGGGAGATGGCCGTCATTCTGAGAAAGAACCGAAGTGGCTGAGGATGAGCTGTCAAGATATTCCATCTGTGCCCCGCCTCCGTTGAGATACGGCTGAGACGTAAAAAACCCTTGGTTCTGAATTTTGGACACGTTTAGTGAAGGCTTCACTTCGGTTTTCTGTTGAAAATCCTTAACCAGGTTATTATTACAGGAAATGGGTTCTAAACTGCCATTTGAATTATTATTATTGTAAGGGTTGACGCCCGGCTGAGCAATCTCATCAGCCGTTGGCATTGCACGGTGGACCTTTGGGCCGTTCATTACAGACTGGACCCCGTTTGGGGAGTTGTTCGTGGATGGCGAAGTCGAACAAGATGGGGCATCATCGGTAACTACGGATGGGCCTGCATTTGCTCCTCCAGTCAGAATGCTAGCTCGTCCGGCCGAAACCTGATTGGTCATCGGGGAGGACGACTGGTGGTGTTGAAGCTTTGGCTGGGCGAACCGAAAATTGGCATTTTGGCCGTCATTTTTCACCAGCTGGCAGTCGTGTGGGTCGGGCGTCACTCGAGACGATTCGAGCATTTGGCTTGATGTTGGACTGGAGAAATTTTGCGGAATATCAAGAATGGGCTGCTTTTGCGGGTGCTGATCTTGGAACTGTGTTGGTTGAGGGGGTTGTTGGTGTGATAAAAGCGATTGCTGCTGCTGGTGGAGTTTCTGTAGAAGATGAAGCTGAATTTGATTGTCTGACAAAAGCAACTGTTGTTGACTTGTGTGATCGGACGGCTGAGAGGTCGTTAAACTCTGCTGATGTGCCGGCAGGTTTTGAGGGACGTTTCGCTGAATCTGATGATGATTCAGCAGAGATTGAGGTTGACTTTGGACAGGATGATTTTGCGACTGCAGAACCTGGGAAGAAGGAAGCTGGCTCGTCGGTAAAGTTTGATTTTGACACTCCGCATTCAGTCTTGGCGGTTGACTCATGTCGGTCAACTGCTGATGTGGCTGCATAATCGAGCCTAGAGGATTCAGAGTCGAAGGCTGCAGCTTTTGCAGTGGATCTATCGGTTGTGTTGACCTCTGTGAGTTGAACTGTAAGTTCTGTTGATGGGAGATTTGTGGCGAGGACAGCCCGCCTAACTGACGAGACATATCTGTGCCGGCAAGATTTTGAAGAATCGAATTAGGTAAAGGGTTTATATAGTTTGGCTGAATCGAGGGGTTTTGCTGCTGCATGTTCATCCACTGGACTAGGCTTAGGCCCGGCAGGCCCGCTTGGGGATCTTTTAAACCATACTCATCACCGAGCCATGGCATTGTCCTTCGAAATATGCTGTCTAGATCGGTCGAGTCATCGTCTGCAAGGAGAATGGAGAGATAATATCTTTTTAGGCCTTATATTCTTTTCTTCAACTCTTCAATATTATTGTGAGGCTGAAAAGCTTGCTTTGAGCTTTGGTATGAAAAAAAAAACTAAAAGGATCTTTCTGTGCTTTAATGATGAGACCAAGCATCTTTCAAACATGCACTACTCAAGGACCAGATTAAAAAGATTGGTCAAACATTGACCAAAGTATAAAAGGCAGAAAAGAAAAAAAAAAAAAAAAAAGGAGCATCTTAACCTATAAAGCCTGTCTTGCTAGTTGCTACTCTACATTACCACCTTTTTGGTTGAATGGATGGATTTTAATTAATTTTGTTTGAATCATTTTCTACACTGACAAAAAATGTGGAAAGTTTTTTCCTATAGGTGTTGTTAATATGATTTTTAGAATTTATTTGAATAAAGCTTTTTCGACCTGGCATTCCCGGTATCCTGGGGCGCTTCGAACGGAATAAAGGAGGCGTGGGGCATATGAAAAACGGAGCAGTTACAGGTTCGATCTCCCAAATGGACACACGGTTACGCCTTTCGCCAGCTGTCGACTCGTCCCAACCAACCTGCGCCCGTAAAACGCCAAGTGAGTAGTCCGCAGTTTGTAGAGATAAAAAAACTCGGAGCTTTTTTCACTTTTATTATTTTTACCTGTAGGTTACGCCACTGTGAATTTTTCCAACGAACTGGGTCGAGGTCACTGATTCCGGTTATTGTACCCATATATCTGCAAGAAAACATGCCATGGAAGAAAAAATTTAAATTTCTCATGACTCGAATAAGACGAGTTAAAATACTCGAATAAGACAAAATTTAAATTTCCCGCTACCTTCTCGTGCCCGATTCTTCTGTCTCAAACATCATGCGAAAGCGCATCCCCAGAGATATCTGGTTGCTGCAAACAGCTTTGTAGTACTTAGCCAAAGGTATAACAAACTCCGATGGACTAGCCCTGCTCAAGCTAAAAAAACATACTTCAGCATACCATTTAGGAAAAAAAAATTCATCGAAAAAAAATATATATATATATGATGTGTCAATGACCTTGGATTGTAAAAAACGGTAAACGGGCTGTTGTTAGCAGCCGCATGGGCAGCTGCCGCAAGGATCCCTATGTGCATGCTATCGCTCGACAAAACTGATGAAGATAAGTTAGTCGGCTGTCGGTTTGCACGTCTTATGCCCAGAAGAAGCTGTTGCTTTTCATCCCTGTTCATGTTGGATGAAATCTTCATAATCACAGAGTAAATTTGTAAATCAAACTCTTGTAAAGATAAAATTAAAAAACTTACCGAATAAATAAAACTGAGTCACCCGCAATCAACCGCTTCCCGCCCACAAAAAGGCTCCACCCCGTCGTAAGCAAGTGACGCTTCGGTTGTCCTAAAAATCGATTTTTTTGTCGAAGTTTAGCAGCAATCAAAGTTGAGTTAGCGCGAATAATTTTTAAAAAAAAATCAAAACTTTACCTCGGTAAATGTGGCGAAATGTCCAGACATTATCGTGCAAATCCCTGGCGACGATCTCTTGAGCAGGCGGTTGCATGGTGAAGTCCTGCAACAGAATTTGAGTTCTTTTTCTCAAACTAACAATTTTTTTCAAGAATTAAGGACCAAAAAGGATCGATTTTTTCCGTAAAAAAGATTAACAAAAAAAAAAAAAAAATCTTTGCTACACTAACCAGAGTAGGGAAAATCTTCTCTGCAGCACGACGTGGAACTGAAAAACCACCATGCGTGCTAGTGTCACTTGCGGTCAAGGTTTTACAGAAAAACTCCGTCTGCGGCCTGTGAGCTTTCATCGATAAATCTGATCTCAGTAAAGCTTCCTTGTCAAACTGCAAACCAAAACAGCAAAATGTCCATTGATTTTTGTCGGCAAAATGGAGCGTTTATTTCGCGCATTTGTTTTATTTTTATTTATTTTATTTTATGAAAACCTACCGAAGGAACCGGTTGCAGAGTCATCTGGGCATATACTTCGTCAGTTTCTGGATCAGCCTAAGGTGATGCCACACAAAACGAGTTTTGGTTTGTCATTAAACGAGCACACAAGAAGTTGTAAAAAGATAGCAAATTGTGATGATACAAAACGAGGCATTAAAGTAAAAACTACGCGTACGTGCAAAGTGACATTATGGAGAAGGCACAGTAATTTCGAAGGGAGGTTTGGATAGTTCGGAATTTGAGCATCGACATCCTTTTTCATGGATGCAGCAACCTGTACAAGAAAATTTTGCCTAATTATTTTTTATCACAATAAAACACATAGTAAACAAAATGTTTTCTCTTAAAACAATATTATTACCAAGCAAAAAATCTAAGGTCCCGTTACGGGATGATACCGTCAGTGTTTTTCACCATTCGATACACATATAAATTATCTTGTGTGAATAATCTACGGTAACCAACACTGATGGAACCATTCCGTCAACGGGACAGTAGTAGTTCCCTATTACCAAGTTTGGAAGCTTAAATTAACAGGATATATAGTTTTCTGTCCATTAGGTCAAAACAAAATAAATATCTCGAAAAATGCAAATCCTGTGTATGAGGCTGTCTAACATTTAGGCTGGTTGACCCGTCACACAATGCGAATAAAAAATGTATATATATCTATCTATACGATCAAATGTCATACTTCTCCTTATGTTGTTTCCTAAAGTATGATTTTCCAACGACAGTATGCATAGTAGTCAGAAAAGTATGCCGGCCTAACAATTAGGCTGGCCTAACGAACCAAACCTCAAATCGTTAGTCATTTACAAGTCAGGTCTTCTCTTTTAATCAGTCGAGTCGAGTTGGTGTTACGTAGACCTACTACACCGTTATATTGACATATCTGTTGCACATATTAAAAAAATTATCACAATAAAAATTTCGTAAATCTAAAACGCCAAAAATATAACAGGTCGACTCGTCTAACGTTTCGATCGTTTGTTTCGTAAGCAAAGTTTGTAATTTTGAAATGGTTTGTTACATACATCATGATTCTACATCATCCCTACGGTTACAAGTACACCTCAACTTGTATCATTTGAAATTATAATAAGAAATAAAGTGCCCTTGATTAAGTGCACACGTCACACTTCAATAATGTACCATCACTTTTTTTTTTTTTTAAATAATCAATCCCCTGTTTTTGCGAACAAACTCCAACTCACACCTCATACCCCAATCAATAATTCCAAGTCACCAGCTCAAAACAGCATGGACATCATAATAATTATAATAATAATGATGGAGATGCTATGGTCCCATTACGAAACCATTCCGTCGGGTTTGTAACTATTAGATCAACTCTCCACGACGGTTACATGATAATCTAAAGGTTACAAATCACGACGGGATGGTTCCGTAACGGGATTGTAGCATTTCCTAATAATAATAATATATCATAGTAAATCTAGGGATAATTTGGACATGTTATTGTAATGAAGACAATATATTTTTAAATCTCTGCATGTGACTATGACAATATATGGCGCAGTCAGCCCAACTGACATAAAGAAAAGATAAAGAAAATGGATGGGTGGACGAGCGGCGCAGGTTAGACCCCACCGGTGAAATTTTTCACACTACTGTCAAACGAACAGTCTTAACCTGCGCCCGGTGCAGGAAGGGTAAAATCGGAATTCTAGAAAAATAACCGGAGGAAAATTAAATTGTGTATATAGCCTAACCTGTTCGCTGTGGCCCTGCGGAAAGTAGACGACGTGAGTCCCGGCGGCCGGCACGTTCACCAGCGGTCCGGCGCACGCCTGCCATAGCTCGCCGTTAATGTTCTTCTTCTCACCTGTACACGACCCATTCCTCACACGTGTCAGAAGTGTAAACGAGTTGACTCAAACATTTAGATGTGTAAACAAGCTCGAGCCCGCAAAAAAAAAAGGAAAAAAACAAAGCTCAAGCCCAAGCCCGAGCCCGAGCTTTGTCATGAATATAAAAAATGAGCCGAGTTTAGTGAAAAGTTACATAAAAATTCATATTTTCTAGTTTTCGCAAGTCTCGCGAACTCAGTTAATCAAACGAGCTTTAACTGAAAAACGAGGTGAGGGCACAAAAGGCTTGTATTGATTAACAATTCTATTTGCAGTCAAAATCTCTTTGTTCACAAAACAAAGAATAGATCGGAAACGAATATGTGTGAAAGAATAGATCTCCTTTTGGTAGGAATTGAAAGGGAGTTACCTTCACCGGCGGCGGCGCCGTTAGCCGCCGGAGCTCCGGCGACTGCGGTCGGAGTCTTCATCTCTATTTTTTATTTTTATCTATACAGTCTTATACTGCCTTCAAGACTCCTCTTTTCCTGCCTCAAACGAATAAACGGAGTCGGTATCTTTCTCACAGGGATCCCATCTGGGCGGAAAATATGCCGGCGAGTACTGGCCGGAAAAGGGTGGCCGACTAGTTTCAACCGGAGTTTTTTCTATTAAAAACCGGGGGAAAAAAGGGAAATTGAGAAAAAGGGCAGTCTATTCAGCACAAAGACCGAAAAGGGTCGACGGAAAAACACAGTAGGCCGGCCGGACAGAACAATATCCGGCGAGAAAAAAGGGTGGTCCGGTGGTGGTGATGAGAGAGAAAACCAAAAAAAAAAAAAAAGGGTTCTTGATTTTGTTGAAAGAGGGAGACAAGAGGAGCTTTGGAAAAGGGAAGGATGTTGAGTATAGCAGAGACCAAATTCTGCAGCTTTATTATTAATTGCCCCCTTTGCTACACTACACCTTTCAGACACACACAAACACACACACACACTCTCTCTCTAACCTCTCTCTAACCTCTCTCTAAATGTATACACACAGATGTTGTATCTAAATGCCCTGCTTTGAGCTTTCTTTTCACTTGAATCCAAACCCCTTTTGCAGGCACCACTGTTAGCTACTCTCTCTCTCTCTCTCTCTCTCTCTCTCTCTCTCTCTTGATCCGAGGATTTCACTTTCTCACTCTTCTTTCTACCCTCTCTCTCTCTCTCTCCTCTTTCTACTCAATGCCCTCTCAACTTTCCTTTAATTTTACACTGTAAATTCAGTTAAATAAATTAAAAGTAATCTACCTTTCGTTGTCAATTGAGATTTTGTTTAATAATTTACGCATGTTCTGGGCTTGCTTTTCTTTTGTATTTCTCTCTCTCTCTCTCTCTCTCTCTCTCTCTACTGTGGTAGATGCCAATGGTGGGGAATCTGTACTGTGGCCGCACAAAGTTGACCGATGAGGCTAAAAAAAATATATTAAAAAAATTAATTGATAAAAAAAAATTAGTTGGTGAGAAGTAATTTAATGAATAATTGAATTAATTTTTTTTTTCTTATGGAACTTTGAGGTGTTGTAAATAAAAATATTAAAACTAATTGAGAAAAATAAAAACAATTGTACAATTAAAATTCTTCATGGAGAGCTTTGCCGTCCTGGTGGTCCTACCCAGTTCGATTCCAAATTAGTCGGTTCTCATGTGGATCCAGAAACCGAAAGGTCCCTGTACCAAATAATACCCTTAATTTACATATAAATTTATAGGAAGATGCTACGGTCCCGTTACGGAACTATTCCGTCAGAATTTGTAAATCAACTATCTCCAACAGTTACACGATGATCTAACGGTTAAAACTCGACAAAATTGTTCCGTAACCGTAGCATTTCACAAATTTGTAATTACACTAATTATTCAATTTAAAGACTGTATTAAAAGAATATTAAAAAATTAGACAGAAAAATGGTATTATAAACTTGTTATAAATTAATTAAAATCGAAGTCTGATACCTAATTTTCAGGTTTAGGCTTAAATTTAATTATCTAATATATTCTAATAAAACATTTTTGCCTAAAAATAGGTCCGTCAAATTAGAGAATGGACCCAAATTATCAAACCGTGGAATGATTTATTGCACGAGCAATGAGCAATTTCAAAGCTTTTTGTTCAGAACAAATCAAATATGATACTTAACTTTTAATTTGAGGTGATTAATAAATAAATAACATTGGATGCATATCCATACCTTAATTTTTTTATGAGTCCACTATTATTACACTGTAGAATAAATAAATTATTTTAATTATTATGTGTGTAAAAATGTCTCGGCCCACGCCCCTTTCTTGTCGGCGGTAAAATGACTGAAAGAAAAAGAAATGGAATTAAGTGGGAGTACATTATTAAATATTGTTACGTGACGTGGCATTGATTTTGCATGAATTTTGATGATCAAAGGTTGAAAATTAGTCTTTCTATTAAGGCTAGAAATGGCACCGGCCCGGCCCGGCCCGGCCTATCGTATCGGTCCCGACCGGGTCCCGACCTAAAGGTATCGTGGCTTTACGGGTCATTTTTGGGTCTATCTTTTTTCTTTTTTGGTCTCGGTGGTCTGGGACCGGGCTAGGACAGGGCTGGTTCGACGGACCTGGTCCTTGATTTTTGCGGGCCGGTTAAGGGTCACCTATGGGAGGCCCGCTGTCCTAGCGAGCCGGCCGGGCCGTGACCCGTCGTCCCATTGACTTGTCATGTATAATTAAAGCTATGTTTCGTAGATAAATAAGCTAGTTTATAATTTATTTGGTTAGCTTGTAAGATCCTTGTATTCAAACAAGGCTTGTTTGGTAGGACGAGCTTTTTTAAAAAACTCCCTAGAGAAGCTTATCAAATAAGCTAGTTGAATTATTTATTTCCGCTAGTTTATCAGCTAATTTTATCACACTTTTATCATATAATTAACCTAGTTTTTCAGCTATAAGTCATAATATATAAGTTAAAAATATTATATCATATTCATACCTAATTCCCTATGAAGTGATACGAAATATTATATAATATGTTTAGAAAAAACTGTTATAATTAACCCAATAAGAGAGACTCTTATAGGTGGGGGTGTCTTTTTGAATAAAAATATATTAACTTTTATTTCATTAACAAATTAAATTCAAAACTTATACCTTCCTAATAATGTGTAAATTTACTAATTAACACTCATTTAATACACTACAATTCTTGGTAAACAAAGTGTGTTTCATCAAAATAACAAAGATAGAGACCTATTAGATTAAACATTTTTTTCATTAACCAAATAAAGTGAGGATATGATAATATGAGGCACAAATTATAGACTCTAGATGGGTTTATTTTATTAGGTTCATTGGTTATTAGTATGTCCTGTTTTGGAAATATAATATTTAAAATAAAATTATATATAAATTATCCATGCATAAGTTATAAATTGAAAAAAAAAACATAATTTAGAAATAGATAAAAGAATCATAAATAAATTTGTATAATTTTTATCTATTATTAACATCAGCATACATAATAAGTCACATGTTAATAAAGCCATATAATCATTGATGGCTCATCAATGCCCATATTGGACTTGTATAATAGCATAGCTAGGCATATATAAATAAGTAGGCATATAGTAAAATAAATGTTGTAAGTTATAATTATAAAAACATAGTAATATACTACTAGTAGCTATCACATTGCCTATAATGATCAGTTAATAAATGATTGTAAAATAAATGTTATTCTCTATTTGTTGAAGAAAATTATAGCCAATTATTAATTGTTTTAAATTGAATTGTAGATTCACAAACCACAATTTTGTGACTTATTTAACTTTATGATGCATACATTTTTTTGGATCAGCACATTTTTTTTATCAATCAATTAATTTATATGCTCCATTGATAGATATATTTGTGTATATTTTGAATTTGTGTGTATATTTTGATTCAATAGTAATTTAGTAAATAGGCTGAAATATTAAATGCTACCAAGGACCTGAATTAAATTAAATGTGCACTAAATTTGACTGTCAAGAGATCTAGAGCACAGAGAACATTCATTAATGGACAGAAGATATATAGGAGTTATTGCATTGAAACATGAGATAATCAAATTATGGGAGATGTTACGGTCCAGTTACGGAACCATTCCGTCGAAATTTTAACAGTTAGATCAACTATCTTCGATGGATACATGATGATCTAACGGTTACAAATCCCGACGGAATTGTTTCGTAACGTGACCATAGCATTTCTCTCAAATTATTCCTAAAATCTTAGTACTAAAAATTAAAAACACAGAATTAGTTACTCACAAAAGTCTAAAAGTTCAAAAATCATTTAAATCTTTTTTTTTTTTTAATATGCCTTAAATCTTAAGAAATAAGATGACACTAATAATAAGTAATAGGACAAATATTTATAAAACAGCAAAATTATTGGTTGCATAGTCTCTTCCTAGAAGATTTATCTTAATTTGGGAGATAAAAATCCAATGATAAATGTACTCATGATGTCTGGTCATGCCTGGATATATATAAATAATCAGCTGAGATAATAATAGTATGCAATGATATTGCAGCTATACCTAATATATATATATATATATATATATAGATTATTATTTTATTTTGTTTATTTATTTTATTTTTTTTTACAATGACTCAATTATGAAGGCTTTGACTAACAATTTCAAATATAGAACTATAATTTATATTGTGAATTTTTGCATTTTTTTTTTTTCCTTCTTGAAGCAAACTTGTCATTTACAAGAAAGTAATTCAGCCTTTATATTTTATTATAACTGAAGTGATATAAAAACTTTTGACATTTTTGTCCACATGCAAGCTGTAAAAGCCATAATTTTTTATTTTATTTTTTTTTTAAATCTAGATTTAAAGTTATATATCTAGTAAGTTGTAGGAACCTTAGAACGAACGGGCTAATTATTTGACATTGTTGATTTAAGTTCCAATTGGATATATTCTTTCAAGATTTATTATTTATTTATTTATTTATCTTTTTACTAGAAAAAAAAGATATGAAAAAAAAAGTGAATTGTAAAAGGTTTCTCGAAATTTAGAGGGATAAACAAGCAGAGTTAAGCCAAACTCAAGCTCCAGTACTCAAATTTGAGCTTTTATCAAGCTGAACTCATTAAACGAACCCGAGATTATCTTATTTATCAATATTAATATGTCGAACACAAGTTACATATAGTCGAATTCGAACCTTAAAGAATTGAGTTATTGAAAGTTACATAAATTTACATCTTTCACTTATCGAACCATCTCGGCTCGGTTGTCAGATGATCTCGAGCTCAATCCGTTTATCAAACAAGCTGAGCCATGCATGTCGAATTAAATTCATGGAATGCTTGTTTCATTAATTTGACCACTATAGCTAAAACCAATGCTTAATTGCATTTGTGTAACTATAAATTTATTGCCCTGACATCAAATCCTCAACAATGTTTTTTGTTG